AGAACCTGGAAGACTCCATCCGTAACCTGGAGTTTGAGGAGAATCCTCAAACGGTCTAAGACACCCGAAGTAATTTCCCAGGACTTAAAACCAAGGAAACCCAAACACTTTCTTCGATAAATACATACATACATACCGCCATTACTCGCTGACGAGTATTTGATACGCATCAGAAGATGGTCACGCAAGGCGTTTCCTTTCATGAGCTTTTCTGTGACTGAAAAGCCCGATACGTGATGTTATCTGTCTACCGCACTCAAGACATTCAAAAATCTCATTGCTTTGTTGCCTCTTTACTTTTTGGTTGTCGCTCTTAACTGACTTTACAATTCTTCTCAATTCCGTTCTATTGTGAGCTGCCTCTTCCCACTCATTCTGCTTGTTAATTCCCTTTAAGTTTTCGTGGAAAATATCCTTGAACCTTTTGAGTTGTCCACCGGCCTCCTCTTACCGTACACAAGTTCACCGTAAAGCAGAGATTTTGGTATGCGGTTTTCTTGCATTCTGCACATTCTGCATACGTGACCAGCCCATCTTAAACGGGACTTTGTAATCATGACTTCAATACTCTCGCAGTTAGCTTTTTCAAGGACCGATACGTTTGAGACATGATGGAACCATTTTATTCTTAAGAGTTGTCTAAGATGTCTCTGTTGCAACTTGTTTAGTGCGTTCATGTGTCGGCGGTACGGCACCCAGGTTTCGCTTCCATATAACATGGCGGGAATTATTATCGCTCGGTACATCGCAAGTTTCGTTTTTGTGCTCAAGTCATGATTGTAGAAAACTAACTTTTAATTTCCAGAATGCTCTTGAGGCGCTGCTAATCCTGTGCTGAATTTTAGAGTCGATATTGGCCTTTTCCGAAATCAAAGTGCCGAGGTAATTGAATTCCGCTACATATTCCAACAGCTCATCTCCGATTTTTATAGCATAAATCATATCGATAAATAAGAACAGAACAATCATCAGATTTTCAGAGGGTTTTTAACAGGACACTGTCTTTTCGATAAACACCTTAGTAGATTGAAGCTAAGCTCTCCAAACCATGGAGAAACACCAGAACACCTCATCACTGAGTGCACCGAGCATCATCACCATTCGTACCATAAACATTGATACGACTGATATCGGAGATAGATTCTGTAAAATCGTCTCATGTACTAGTTTTGACTATATGATGACTGAGACTCTATGATTATAGTAACTCAATAAAGGGGGACACAATGGATCTATAATGCCGTGATGATTAACTTCCTTCCTACCATTCAATCTATAATGTACGTTTGAAAAATATACAAAACTATAATACAAATTATTCTAAACAATAGATAAGTTGGAAGTTTAATGAACATCCCGGGTGAAGTAGTTCGCTTGAAAGCTTCGACCGAGTTTACTAAACTTACTGGAAACCCTTGTTTATTGGCCTATTTCTGTTTTTAGAATAATGTTTTGTCCTAATATCGATACGTCTATCTGACAACCGTGCATTTAGTTCTCCAAACGCAAATTGGCGATTTAATACTTGAAAGTTCGACAAATCGTTGATAGAGATGGCATGGAACTGATGGATAGTGCATGACTTTGTAAACAACGTTCACTCTGTTACGCTAGACGGCTACGGTTGGTCGAGCCTGGTTAAATCCTATTCGAGCTATACATTTCAGATTACTCGTATAATTTGCGTATATACCTAGCACATTTGTTTACCTCATTTCTCAGTGGTTCGGGTTAAGTTTATTTATCTTGTTTTATTAAATATGCTTGGATCAATGGAAATAGTATTTGCAGATAATGATATCACCATTATTTGTTTTTCTTCAGTTATAACACATCAAACAGTCTCAGTTGGTTAGGTCAGATTAGTTGCTGTGTACAAAAGTTTATGGCACTAATAGTTATCGTCTCGGGGCACCCAGTAATGAGGTGTTCTGGCTTTTCCCCATTATCCTCACCATATCCTCAGAGAATCTGTATTCGCCGTTGTTTCTTAGCTTTCACCCTCAACTGGCGTGGTGGGGTCTAGCGGACCCTAAGCACTATTTAAACCTCTGTAAAATGTTTACGTTTTAGAATTAGGCCTCGCCGCGCCATTTACCTTTCAGTCAGGATACCAAGGCGCACTTGATTTTATCAAGTATTGTTCCTACCAGCGGGGGCTAAAGTTTCATTGGGGTCTGTGTGGCACCACCACAACAAGAATGTTTCATTATTAGGATGGTGGGTTGTCTAAAAAGTGTGCCTCACTGGGACGCTTATTTTGAGGAAGCGTTAATTGAGTGGTTTAATGAACTTAAAGATGCTTAAGTGAGATGAAGATCAGAGAGACATTGATTTTTCTCCGAAGAGTAACCATATCTCCGATTCTGAATCTCTTACTTATAGAAGAGAGAAAATTGAATAATAAATACCAGAAAAGAAAGAGATGTGGTATATGGCAACCATATGTCAATGAAGAAATGACAAAAAACAAAAATCTTATGAATCAAATGTGCAAGATCCATGTGCGGCAAATGCAGATCCTATATTAGCATGAACTTTATTTGAAAAAGTTATGTACAGCAGTTATGTTTGCAGTTTTGTTGAAAATAATTTATGTTTATTTTAGCTTCAGATTTCAGTTGTTTGTACTTTTAATAATACGGTAAAATCATAAAATATATATGTTTTTAATTTCTATGGGTTTCTTAGCCAAGTTATATTTCTGTTGTCACAAATTACTAAAAAATGCGTTTTACTTTATTTTTGTGTCCGTTCTTACTATTTTGTTGAAAATTAATGAAATTGTTTGTTCACAAGTTTGAATATAATATTATAAACAGTGTTACAATAACAAGCGTTTTATAAAATCTCTTCATCATGTATTTTTAACTGAAAAAACAATTGGGGTCCGTCGGACAAAACGCCATAAGCGTTACAAAAATCCACCACGCCATTTGAGGGTTAATCAACTGAGGTGTTCATTGAGGAGACAATGTCCTGTGTAAACACCTCACGACAATCCGAAGATTGTTTTTACTTAAATAAAGGATTTTTTTTTATTTTTCTCGGTCGTAAGCACTTAGAAATTCCTTCGAATGTTTTAGACCGTTGGAGAATTCCAAAGCATTCTGGAATCCGCATTCTAGTTTGCGGATGAAGTCTTCCAGGTTCTTTAGTTCCGTTTTAAGTTGGTTTCCACTTGGGAAGCAGAACAGGTTGTGGTCCATGGACTGTTGTGCTCTTTTTCTATCTAGATTGTTCGCTTTTTTATTACCTTCTATTCCTTGGTGGGCCGGCACCCAGACTAGGAGAACTTTATTTTCTTTATCTAATTAATTCAGCTTCTCTACACATTCTTTGACCAACTTCGAATAGATGGCCACTGAGTTAATCGATCTTAAGGCTGTTTGACTATCGAATAAGAGGGCTATTTATTGGTATTTCCGAGAAATTCACATATACTTTTTGCACTAAATTTCTTGACAGTAACAGTGACAGTTGACAGAAATCTTTTTAGGCATAAACCTACACTTGACTTTTGAAACAGCAGAACTTTGTAAAATTAATATAATGAAAATCAAGAAATAAGAGGAGTCGAATTGTTTGACTCACAATCATGTCAGAATCTTTGTATTTTAATAATTTGATTTAAATGTATGTAATTTCTGCCTTATTTAAATTTAATTTGAAAAAAAATCTGTGTAGCTTTAGTGGTTTTATTTTTTTACATCAAAATATTCGAAAATAAAGTACAAACGAGATATTTATGTGGTTTAGACAAATTCCGGTAAAATTGTAAACTATGGCAACAGAGGCTAACCGTATATGGTGGTCGTTAAAAGTAGTTTTCCACTAAAAACAATTTATTCGACGCTGCAATTGACAGTGACAATAAAACACAAACAGAAAACCACAAATTGGAAAAAAAACAACGAAAAACTAAACTTAAATATTGCCTATAAAACTGCCCATTTATTTATTTCTGGTCGGTTTAATGTTGAAAATTTTAATTTGGAATGGAAATGGGGGAATCATTTTACTTTGGGGTACAAAGTTGTAATTATTGCTTGTGTGGGACAAAAAAGGTCAAAAGGGTCGACATATTGTTATCAAAAAGCTTGTTGTCTAATTAATATTATGACCATCCATTACGTTTGTGATATAGCTGGAGACAACGCAATGAAATTTATTAGTGAAGCTTATTCAAAAATTCCATTGCCATATACTGATTTTTGTAGTTACATATTTCAACATAATAGGTCGCATTAGTATAATTACAGTTGGGGGTTGGAACTAGTGATGGGCATTACGATTTTAGGGAATCGAATCACAATAATTTACCACAATACAGTGACTGAACAGAACAGTTTTAATCATCTGTTGATGATGCTATGCGCGAGATTAGAGAAATGCGCGTCCAATGTTAAAAGTAAAGTGTTGTGAATTAATTGTTATTAAGTGTTTTAATTTGTATTAGTATAATAAGCTTATTACTATTCCTAGAGTAAAAATATCACTTATAAAATATTTCTATAAATATATTTGCAACACGCTAAACTCTAAAATAGTAGTTTGTATAAACAGCATAAATTTAAACAGTTTATGCGACACAATAAAAGGAAAGTGTAGGTTTCGTGCAAATGTACAAACGTGAGCTATGCATTTAATATGGGCCAATGTAAGATGCAATTGCAGCTAATATTTCTTGAAAAATAGCTAAACTTCCAAGGAAATATGATTCGCCTAACTTAATATTTCCAGAGAAAACAAACCGAGAAATGAATGTTACTTCTTGTTTTCCGAATTAAAATCTTGACGCTGCTAAATATCTTATAAAATATGCGGCCATGTTTCTAAATGACTTATTTCCATGATAAATATTAAATAAAAAATATTTTGAAATAAAAATACATTCTTCAGAGTTTTCAAGAATAAATATTTCATAAATGCTATGTTTCTCATGATCCACATTATCGTGTAAATGATATATTTTACAGTACGTATACTTTTTTTTATAGATTTTTAGGGTTCCGTACGTCAACCCTCTCAAGGTGCATTCCCCGTCGGTGCTGCTACCATCGGAGAATATCGGAAACAACTAGGTAGTATACAGGGTTGTTCACCACATACGACACGGAGTATTAGATTTTTACAAATTGTACGTTTTGGGTTCGTTGAAGGATTATTAGAGCTACAATTTAAAAATATTTTTACACGATACAGAGTCCCAAGTAAATAAAAAATATCAAAGTTGCATTTTTTTAAATGGAACACCCTGTATATTATTACATTTTTATTTTCTATGATTAAAATAAAGCTAAATTTGATTAAGGTTTATCACCCTTAAACCTTACCCTTTTTGAAATATTTTCAATTTTGTGAAATTGCAGTAAAAATTTTAAGGCTTCATTTCTCCAAAGGTATCAAAGTTTTTAATACTAAATATTTTCTGAAGTTTAATTATTGATCAGTTAGTGTGTTGCAATAATAAAAATAATACTACCTCATACAGAGTGTCTAAAAATTTATTTTAAATAATTTCTAGCTTTAAACGGCAATAACTTGTTTAATTTAAATGGAACACCCTGTATATTTTATGAAAATCAGATGGACAATTTAATTGTCCGTTAAATTGTATTATAGCACTTTTACCTATCCATTCAAGTTTTCGTAGAAAATGCATTTTCTTATAATTAGTCAATATACCCATGGAATATTGACATTTTAGATTGTTTTTAAAGCAACAAATGTACAGGTTCTAAAAACGATAATATTACCAGCCAACGATAATATTACCACTATTATTTCCGCCCAAATAATATTTAATTACATATTTAATTGTATTAGTTAATAAATTATTCTAAATAAATGTGGATTTGGAATCAGAAATCAGTATAATACCAAGTTATGAATATGAACGTTTCTGTTCTTATAAATAAGCATCCGACAAAAAATAAAATACAATTTTTAAGGTGTTATTTTTTACCACACTGTCTAATACACATACAAAATTAAGTTTTTTAGTATTTGGAGCAATTATTATTAATCAACGCAAACAATCAATTAATGTAGTTTGAATACTGGAATCATATTAATTGGTCCTCTTTTACAAATATTTAAACATTTTTTTCTTTTTTAATGACATAAATGAACTATATCGAAAATATTAGTATCTGTGTACTCTTTAAAAATTTGTTACATCTTTAAAAATAATCAAAAATGTCAATATTCCATGGGTATATTGATAACTGAGGTCTAAATTATAGGAAAATGCATTTTCTACGAAAACCTGAAGACATAGGTAAAAAATGATATAATACAATTTGATAGACAATTAAATTGTGCATCTGATTATCATAAAATATACAGGGTGTTCCATTTAAATTAAAGTTATTGCCGTTTATAGCTAGTTATTATTTAAAATAAATGTTTAGACACTCTGTTTAAGGTAGTATAATTTTTATTATTGCAACACAAAATTTAGTAAATAGAAATAGTTCAGTACAATATTTGGTTTTAAAAACTTAAATACGCCTGGAGAAATAAAGCATTAAAATTATTACTTTATTTTGACAAAACCCTAAATATTTCAAAAACGGTAAGATTAAAATGCGGTAAACCTTAATCAAATTTACCTTTATTTTAATCGTAGGAACAAAAAATGTAATAATATACAGGGTGTTCCATTTAAAAAAATACAACTTTGATATTTTTTATTTATTTGGGCCACTGTGTATCTTGTAAAAATATTTTTAAGTTGTAGCTCTAATAGTCCTTCAACGAACCCAAAACTTACAATTTGCAAAAATCTAAGAGTTTAGCTACAATACTCCGAGTCGTATGTGGTGAACAACCCGATCTGGTGGTTAAAGTCCGTTCTCCGCTTAATGTCGACATTAACAGGTTGTAATAGTGATAAATAGTTAACAGGCGCTTTCAGATGGAACGGAGTGTCCGCGACGGACCATCCGCGACTTCGAGCAAGTACCATGAGTTTATATGAACAATTTCACATGAGTCGCGTATGCTCCGTCCGGATGACGGCCATAAACAGAAACACATTAATATAAAAACACCCGGACGGTCTGCTCCATCCGAAAGCGCTGTAAAGAAAGTCACATTTTTTTTATTCAATAAGAATTTAATAAATTACTTTAAATTACTAGGTATTCTTTAAAATATTGAACCAGGAATATTATAGATATCTTCCATTTTAACTTACCTACTTTTTCTGAATTATTCATTTAAGGTACCTAGGCTATGTCCGGTAAACGATAACTTTTGAATCAAATTATACCTTTCTTAGTTTTCTTTTACTTTAAATTTCAAATCATTTTTAATTTATTTTGTTCAAAATCCATTTTTGAGTACCTTGGACTTTCCAAAAATTGTAAAGATTTAACACGTTAATAATAAAATTTTAAATCTCTTTTTCAATAGTGTTATCTTTTTGTAGGAAGGTCATGAAATAAAAATAATTAAAAATATCATAAGAATAATGCTCAGATATTATTTTTCATTAGGTATTTTTATTTATTCTTGGTTTTATATCATATATCCAATGTCACGTCTTGTCTTTGAGAGACTTCTTGTATACTTGTTCTCTGTGTTGTTTTTCCATAAAACCTTAAAAAACCATCAACTTAAAAATTATATTTGAAAGCAACTTCAGCCTTATAACGTAGGTGAAAGATATTTGAAACCGAGGGAAATCTTCCTTTTTCATTTTTACCGGCAAATGCTTGTTTCTGATTGTTTTTCTTACAATCAATTATTTAATTATTATAATATTTTCTTCTTTTGTGATTTAGGGTCTGTAATAGCGATTAAATGATACTTTATTAAATTGAATAATCGGAACAGGGGTTTTCAAAGCTCTACGTTTCCTTATATTGGATTTTAAAGCGTAGTTTTCAAGTAAAAACTCTCCAATCGCGAAAAAAGTCGACGTTAAATCTGTCACCGGTTCAAAAAGGAAGGATATCAAATAAACTTCCGCTTGAAGTTTTTGCGACATACTAATGTCGTCCAATAATAGTTTCTTGTATCCAGAGTTCAGGTCTGGACTTGGCAAAACCCTAAGGAAGAAAACTTTGCGGTCTGTTTTTGCGCGCCATCTTAAGGGGATTGTTTACAGTTAATTAATTCACTCTTCGACATTTGACTTTAATTGTTTAACGCTGAAACAGTTGAATTTTTCCAAGAAATCTTGATCAATACTTCATCTTTTTAGGGTACCGTACTTCAAAAGGAAAAACGGAACCCTTATAGAGTCACTTTGTTGTCTGTTCGCCGGTCTGTCTGTCTGTCATGTCTGTATATCTCGGTAGCATTTGTTCGGTTTTTAAAGATACTTTTATTAGAGTACTTACCGTTTAGGACGTGTACCCTGACACTGGCGACATCTGCGTTTGAAGGGCTGCATGAATACTTTCCAGAATCAGAGAGATCAGCGTGCTGGATCAAAAGAAAGCTAGTGGTCACTTCGCCTTTTTCTGTTATCACACTAACACCTCCACGACTTGAATCGTAGCTTATAACCTGTAAGAAAGTTTGATATATAAAATTACAAAGAATTTTACAAAATATAAATAATATATCGAAAATGTTTAACAAATATTTATGTACCATTAAATCCCATGCCTGAGAAAATTAACAAAATCTTTCTCTACATTAAAAACAATAACATTAAAATATCTCTTGCTGTTTTATTCCAAATTTTGTTTATTGCAATCAAAGTTAGTTAAACTATATATGTTGTATTTGTGACATAGAAGGCTGCGATATATACCACAAGAATTTTAGTACATTTATAGTCTTTCTGCAGAATTGTCTTTCAAGTTGCATTTAAATTTTATTTTAAATTAAAATAATATGTTTCATGTAAGTATAAATTCAATTTCTATCCACGTTCAATAATTAATTATTAAATCTGATGAAGATCTGTATTTTCTATAAATATAAACAGAATTTCGAATAATTTTATGTTAGAATATGTGTCTCTGTGGCCTTACCACCTCGTACCCCTCCATAGAAAATTACCTTTGTAGTCTATTCATATATAGATTCGAAAATACTTTTAATAAAAGTTTATTGTTCGGGAAACTTCAGGAAAAGTTGCCAAACTTTGTTTCGGAACATATTATTTTAGTGAGGCTGGCTAACAGAAATATTGAGAAATCTTTTAGGAAGACGTATTTCACAAGGAGATAGAGAATAATATTAACGTTGAATTTAGGAAAAAATATCCTCAGTACAGGTATTTTTTGAACTTTAGGAAAAACATATTCTTTAATAAAAGGTTTAAAGCTCTATAATAACAAATAACCTAGATGATATTTTTGACACCTATAGTATGATGGACTAAATGTTTTTGGCAAGAAGGTCGAGTAAGTGTGAGTCACTAGCAAGAAATTACTTTGGACAGTTTATAGAATCCCACCGCATCAGTTTACTTAAATCTTTAGGATTATTAAATGTTCCAGGTAAAACTTTTAATTTGACTATATAAAATATCTTTGAATTTCTCTTTTCTGCTGGGCTTTGTTGGTTTTTACATAATTAGCATTTCTCAATTTTTTTGTGTGCTGTTCCCTCGTCTCTTTGACGTAATAAAAATCTGAAATTCTTTTTTCTACCTAACGTTAAACATCTTTAACATTTTTTACAAATTTTGATTACTCCTGCGCCTGCCCGATAAACATTTTTTTCTTCTAAAACCTCCCACTCTAGAAATTGTGTACTCTTAGTCTGCTAAGGCCCGAAAGCTGATAAAAAATAGGGAAAATTCAACTTTTTGACGCTTTTCTGGATTTATTTGAACTTACGCGGTTTTACGTTAACGAGAAATGAAAGCGACTCGACACGTTTTTATTTATTTCTTTTTTTCTCTAGATTTTTACCTTAAATTGAGAATAACTAATATTAATTTGACCTGCAGCACGGGTCATTCGTTCATATAATTGTCTTGGAAGAAAAAATTTCTATGTATTTGGTTTATTTCTTGGTTAACAATGTGAATGCTATGTTGTGCATTGGAACTTAGGACATAGGAAATCCCATATAAATTTTAATAACGTCAAATAATATTATCTCCCCAGATAATTTTATGCAAAAATAATTACTTATTGTGATATACTTTTTTGAAGACGCGGTTAAAGTTGTACTTTTGTCTAGAATTTCGTTACATATTGAAGAGGCATTTCAAAGTTATTTGCAAAACTGTACCATTAAAGTAAAATTTATAATACGGTCCAGAAAGCTGCAATTAAAATACCAGCAAAAATGTGATTTTGTCATTGTCAAATTCGATGTCACATTTTGTTTACAAGAATTCGAAGGTACCAAATGGAGTAATAAAATAATTATGATTAGGTTAAACGGTATTTTGGTGGAAATAGTAATCCCGCTGTTTTAGAAATGTTCGCAGCTCGGTCTCCAGACAGCCCTATACCGAATAAAACAGTAGTTTAAGAAATAAACCAGAGGTTTGAAACTAAATGTACGGTATAAAGCACCTGGAAACGTGAAGACAAAAATAATGAACAGGAAGAAAACAACAAGGACTTCAATATTCTTCTACATGTTGAAGAAAAGAAAAAATTGACTCTCGTCTATTGGGTATACAGAAGGAAAATATATACACAGGACTTTTCGCCGAACAACTTCTCTCTGTGGAGCACACTCAAAAACCGTTTTTATAGGTATCTTAAATTCAGAAATTTAGATGAACTGAAAACGACATCTCTGTGAATTGAAAAAGATTCTCCCCTTAACAGCTTTGTATTGTAAGGCGTGGATTTTACAATCATTTGGGGGTATTGTTTGACGGTGAATGGAAATCCCCCATCACATAATTATGTGAACATTTTATTAATTAGTATTGTTGTTTAATATAGTTTCTTTAAAAAAATAACCACGTGTTCTGTGTTCTAATTCATCACCCGATATACATTTTCAAAAAAATTCTAAACTTTGTTTCTTAGCAGTAATTATGGTGCTGTGAAATTCTGGAAAAAACAGAAACATAACAGAACTCCAGAGTTTGTTAACTTTACGCGTAATGTAACCGAGTGAAGTGGCATTATAGAAATGTTAACCCTGTGGGGGCAATGAAACATAACGAAATTAAAACACAGAAGAAAAAAACAGTAAGAAATTCGAAGTATTCTTTCCTTCCTTCTGAAATCTCGCGTCTTTGGAAAGCTGAGGGAAACATTTGCATCCGAATTCCAGAAAAATAAATTACTGGAAAGGAAACAAGGATTATATCCGTGATTCATTTTTGTTATCCAGGCGTGGCCCCAACTTTCGCCATTTCCGGTTTTATTCTTTTCCACTGCAAGACATAATTCTTCTCCACTAAATCACCCTTTTGCTTGCCAGAATAAGATTTCCGAACGCTAAACATCCATTATAAAGGTTTGTAGTCTCGAAACATTTTCCTGACATATCCAGGTACATATTTCTCTCAACTTATATTTCATCTGCATATTTTAACTGATATTGTGTATACGCTGTATTAAAATACAGTCAACCCTCATTACATTTTCTGGCGGGGATAGAATAAAATCTTAGTGCAAACTATCCCAAAGTTCTTTATATTTGGGTAGAGCTTAATTTTTTCTAATTTTTGCCAAAATAAATCATTTTTTATTAAAAAAAGTGTTTGGAGATTAAGCATAAAATATCAAAATTAATACTAAATGTTCAAAACACGTTGAGGAGGGAACTGACTTTAGAGTCACTTTCATTCTTCTGGAAAGTTCTGGGAAAGTTCCGAAAATTTTTCACTGCCCCCTGGACTAATATACCAAAATTTCTATTTCCAAATATAATTTCTTGAATATTCCTAATAGAAATAAAAAAATTCTTCCATTTAGTAGGTATTAACAATTCTGGCAAAGGGCTTAGTAAAAAAGGCTCTATATGATCTAAAGGTTTTGTGTTACTTCTTATACTTTCCGTTATCAAGGAGGATTACATTGCAATTCTACGTAGCGAAAGCTCGAATACAAGACAAAAAAATGTTGCTGCCAAGTCGAGGCAATTTATTTTCAGTCTTAACAGATCAGTGGCAATTGTTCGATAATTGAGGATCAGTTTAAAAAGTTACGTTTTTCATAGAAACATATATCCACTAGCTTAGGTCTTATTTAATTTGTAGCTATATAATTAAAAAAAAACAGAACATTCCAAATGGCAAATGACCTTCTTTGCTTAAAAAAAAACAAAAGTTATATAAAAATAGACTCGCATGCAAAAAGACGCAACGGAAGTTTTTTTTTGTCAAATTTAAAGTATTAATTTTTTTTAGTTTTTAGCCTCATTTTCGTAATATTTCTGGCAAACTGTATATAAATATACTCTAATTAGTAAACTTATTTTTTTTATAAACTTTGTTTTTGTATTTGACTTATTATAGCTTGTTTTTTACCTTAAATTTAAAATACCCTGTGCAATAATTTTGTGAGAAAATTTTCCTACAACATTATTTTTTGGTCGGAACCATGTCTCGTGAGCATTTTGTTTTTTAGCTCATGCCAACACATCCTTGGTTTTACTTTTTGATGATATTTTTTAATATGCTTTTTTTTTAAAGTTGGCTTTGTTAACTATTGTTGTAATGTAATTACAATTACATTTTGTATACCTACCATTGAATATGGTTCTTAGTATACAAAATTGTGCAAAAGCCGTTGCTATTGTTGAACATGGGCGAAATTATGAAAATGTGGTTAGTGAAGTGGTTAGAAAAGGGTAATGGGACGTTTTAGATAATAATTTTCGACAAACTAGCAGAAAGAAGCGTAAAGCGGGTAGTGGTAGGAAGCGTAAAACTACCGCTCTGGACATGGCTCTGGACGAAGAGCAAACAAGAAAATGGCATCAAAGTGTCGAGGTAAAAATGCGAGTGTATTTTAGAGTTCATCCAATCATAGGTATACAGAATGTAACTGTCGATCTGACATCACGACAATAGTTAACAAAGCCTTCATATTAAAAAGTAGCATCAAAAAGTAATGATAATTGAAAAATCTGCAAATTGTTTGTGGAAAGTTTATTTTGCTCTTACTAAATACTCGAAGTCATGGTTCTGACCGAAAAATAATGGTTTAGGAAAATTTATACACGAAATTATTGCATAGAGATATAATAAGCCAAATAATAAAGTTTATAAAAAACTGAGTTTGCTAATTAAGTTGATATAGCTAAAAAATTCATGGAAATAGCGCTTAAAATAAAAAAATATAACACTTTAAATTTGATGAGAATTTTTTTTGTGTTTTTTTGAATCTGCGTGGATATTTAGGTTTTAATTTTTATAAGTATTCTACGTTAAATTATTATAGCATTTAATATTCGTAACATTTTTGGCACTACAAAAAGTTATTGATTAAACTTCACCAAAACTGTTGGTCCGGGATTAAAATTATTCATATTTGTAGAGTATTGTGATTATTTATTTCTGTTTTTTTGTACAGTTGTTTGCCAGTAGTTGCCCGTTGTTTTAATCCCTCTTTTATCAGTTATGTCTATAT